AAGGTAAACATTATATCTGCAAAACATCAGCATGCTAGCATTGTCACTGTGAGCATGTTACCATGCTGAGTTTTTGCACTCAGCTCAAAGCACTGCTGTGTGTAGTTCAGGCTCACAGAGCTGCTGGCATGGCTGTAGACTTTTTGTGCAACATTACAGCACAAAGGTCAGCAAATGCAGCACACAGTAAGCACATCGAAAATAATGTGGTGACTCCCTTTGCCTCAACACAACCCTTTCCATGTAGAAAATGACAGTTGCAAAACATTTTGAAAAATGCATGTTTAAATGGTCACGGCCACTTCATCCCTGTTGCCATTTGTGCCCATACATAGCATCCACTAACAACGGCTGACAGAAAGGTCAAAGCGGATCCTGCACGTTGTACTCCTTTTTTTGCTTGCTCTTGATTTTCTTTAATTCTACTTTCACATCATCTCATACCTTCCTCCCTTCATGCCCTCTCTCTCCGTCCCTCTTCCCAAATACTCTTGTTTTCCTTATCAGTCCCCATTTAACAATCTTACCAGACATAACCCCGGAGGCCACAGTGGACGTTATGGGGGATTTCCTCTCGCTGACACAGGACAGGAAGGAGAAGAGCAGGCCATCCCGAGCCATGGCAAAGATGATACGGGGTAGGGGGAACATGGAGCCCAACAGACTGGGGAGGCGTGGGGAGGAAAACATCAGATTGGGACAACAGTTGTAGGGGCATGGTAGAGGAACAAGGGGAAAGGAAGAAAGGAAAGAGGTCAGTAGGGAAGGAAGGGGAGGAATTAGCTAAAGGAGACAAATACGTTTGGCAAGGATAGTAGGTGCGGATTTCGGGTGGGGACATGTAGCGGGATACCGGACAGGCTTGCACTGTAGAGCAGCAGGGGCGTGAGGTTGGACCAAAGATATTTTCATGCCAGCATGCAAAATTTCTCTCCCTGAAATAGCAAATATGATGCTCCACATGCATTTTACTCTTTGTTTGTTGTAAAAAAAAAAAAAAAAATCTTTGGTTACTTCAACAAGCAGTTTAGTTTGGTGTTTATTCTTCTTCTTACACCAACAAGATGCAGGTAGAAAAAGAAGTCTCCCCACATTAAGTTCCTTAAAGAAAAACAAGTCCGGCCACTGACCCATGTCAGAAGAACGCCTACATAAGAGACCTGGCCGTGACAGTTAGTGAAGCCCCCTTCATGCTGAAGTGCTGATTTCTGGTAAGTTTCTTTATAACACAGTTAAATTTAATCTGCAATCGGCAGACCAGAGCATTTCCAACCCGACGCAGCTCAGCCCAGCAGCTTGAAAAGAAGCCTCATTGAAAATAGATGCTGTTTAAAAGCATGCGTGTTAGTGTCTCACCTGCCCCTACGCCAGAGGTGAGGGTTGCGGTTAGCGGGGTTTTGGTGCGGGGGCTGATCTCGGCCATGAACTTGAAAAGCAGCCCATCGTCGGCCATAGCCCAAATCACGCGGGGCATGGGGAACATAGCACCCAGCAGGCTACCAGGGGGGAAGACCAGGATGTATAGTATCCACACTTACACCCACGAAAATGCCGTGAAACGTACATGAACAGAGACACCAGCTCACAGATACAAGCAACATCATACAGTATATTTACATAAAATAATATACTGTATATTGTGCAAAACATATACAGTAAGGATAATAGTTGCATGCACGAACATGTTTAATATCAAAGCACGCATCTGTTCATGACCTTAAATATACTTTGCACACATTTTGAAATGTATAGAATCCATAGTTATCTTTAATAATTCTCTATCATAGCAACAGGCATTCAGAATAAAAGCATGTATGTAGAATAACACCGCCATTATAAAACCATTAAAAACTGATTATTAATTTAAAAAAATCAAGCATGTGGTGGCCTTCGGTTACATGAGTTACATAATAACACACTGATGGTACCATATATTCTTAGCAGTGCTCTTATTTTTAGTCAAGGGATCAAATGCCTTTTGAAGTTAAATATACATTCACATAGTCCCACACACAGGAATGTCTATATGTGTGTGTGTGTGTGTGTGTGTGTGTGTGTGTGTGTGTGTGAAAGAGTACATGAGCATGCATTTTAAGCTAACGGCAGACCAATGCATGTGTGTGTAACTGCTTACCTAGTGGACAGAGCACAAAGAGAGCCTACAGCAACAGCATATTTGGCTCCTCCCCAGCCCACATATTTAAAAGCTGCAGGCAGAGGGCTGTTGCTGTCAAGCAGGTAGTATGGCATCATGAGGGTGAGGGCGGCAGAAACCCCAAAGTACGCTACAAAGCAGATGAGCAGCGAGGACACGATGCCAATAGGGATGGCTCTCTGGGGGTTCTTCACCTCTTCGCCTAGGGCGTAGATGAGGAACAGACACAGTTAAACAGGGAAAGAAGTACGTGTTCACCGATTCATTACTTCACCGGGTGCTGAATTATGCATTAAATTTTTTTTAAAGCATAAAAGTCCTGCCTAGTATTGGAATTTCAAGAGACAAATCTGCATTATCAACTGCTCCACATAGGGCAGGGCTACAAATGTGTTTTTTTGTGATCAAATTTATATAAATATATATTCATATATATATATATATACACAGAATACTATTAATAATAATCAAAATAAACACACATACATGCCCCCCTACTCCCCAAACAGAAAACGATACTGTCGTATTGGCAGAATTCCCAAAAATGTGGAAAACAGGGCAAACAAATGTATTTCAGAAACAGCTTTTTTCAGAAACTGAACAAGCTGCTTATTTTTCCAGTGCACCCAGAAGACGAAAACACCCAACCATTCAGCCGCAGGTGATCATACAACAGAGCTCCTCAGACTCACGTCTTGTTCTGCAGTGAAATCACATTGCGATGATGGAGTCTGTATAACACTGCCTGGTTTCCATTCCGACACCACCATTCATGACAGCTAATGATCGCCGCAGATTATTGGAAGGTCAGCGGTAATGTGCATAACGGGTAACAATTGTGTGGATGTTTGTGTGCCTATGTCTACATTTGTGTGTGCGTGTGGAGGGGGAAGGGGTAAGGGCTTCATATCAACTTAACTCTTGGTAGCCAGAATACACACACACACCCACACATGATATAATTTAGGGCTTGGTGAGAATGTGTGTGTGTGACAGACATGCCCCTACAAGCCAAACTGAAGCAATCATTCAGTGTCAACCTCACACTAGCCAATTAGAATTCAGGAACAAGAGGGGTGGGAATAGCCGGGGGTCCAGAGAGCAGTTAAACTAAAAGAGACTCGCCCACCCCTTTTCCTTTTCTTTAGAATCCAAAGGCCTTCAACCGATAAAACAGAACTAGATGGATGAAGACACACACCAATTCACAGGTGTATAGATCGGCACAGTGTAGAAAAAAACGTCAAACACCGAACTCTTTATCATGATTTCACCTTAACTGGCGTCACAGTGCTTTGCATTCGCCAATTTGGGTCAAACTAAACTGTCTCTTTTCACTCTGCCCTGACCCTCTTATGTTACACTCCTGGGTGTTTAAACAAGCTTAGGATGGAAATGGTCCGAACTCCAGATTCAGTTACAACACCCCTTTCAAAAGCGGACACATACCCATGAGGCAATAGAAGGTATAAGAGACTAACTGGCTAACTGAGTGTACTGGCACTGACCTGTGGTGGCGATGCAGTCAAATCCGACAAAGGCATAGAAACAGGTAGCAGCTCCCGACAGGACGCCTGTGAAACCAAACGGCATGAAGCCGCCCACTCCTAAACTCTCTTTGGTTGGCAGGACGGCTGTCAGACTGAGCAGGGAAGAAAATAACGATTCAAATCAGCGAAAAATAACAACTCAAAATCAAACGTAACATAGGATGTTTCACAGAACATCTTTGGTATAGAGGTGGGTGTGTATCCACATTCTTACTTGAGGCTGGAGTTACTGGTATAATGGGCATGTAGGATCTCTTCAGGGTCCAGCTGCCAGTTCTTCAGAGTACCTTTGACCAGGCCAGAGACCACCATGAACAGCAAGACCAGGACGTTGATACACGTAAAAACCTTGTTCACCATTGCTGACTCTTTGACCCCGAATGCCAGCAGACCTTAGAAAATGGAGAAGACACGGACAATAAGAAAGAAAATAAAACCTTGTTTGGAGGTGGAAACTACACTGGAGCGTGTAGCGTGTAAACTTGTGGTTAGACAAGTTTTGTACTCGAATTTGTCAACCTATTTATCTGTAGTGAATATCCGCCACTGCAGCAATGTCAACCATAATAGTTTAAGGGAAAGACACCGCACGCTGGCGATACAAAGTATGCTCTTTGTGACACGAGAGAGAGAGAGAAAGAAAAGAGGTTTTCCTACCTGTGAGGATGAATATGATGAGAACAGCAAACATGTCGGGGTACTTTGCCAATATACCCGGTGCATTCATGGACATGTACTCCCTGCAGAACTGCTCTATGCGGTTCCCTACCAACTCGTCAAAGGTGGCGCTCCATGCTCGGGCCACGCTGGAGGTACCTGAGATGAAGATAGATGGTAGAATTTGTGGTGCCTGTGCTTTTGGTTGTCTTGGTTGTGCCCTCTCATTCTGTTTCTCTGCATGGGAGCTCAAACAACAAAAAGGAGGCAACATAGTAGTAAATGTATCATTGTTTACCAATGATATAGGAGAGGATGAGGTTCCATCCAGTGATGAAGGCCCAGAGTTCCCCTACAGTCACATAGGAGTAGAGATAAGCTGAGCCTGTCTTGGGAACACGGGCTCCAAACTCAGCATAGCACAGACCTGCCATCACTGAGGCTAACGCTGCTATCAGGAAAGACAGCACAATGGCAGGACCTATGGGGAGACAATGGACATCACATGATTAGAGGGAGGCTTTAAGAACATCTTTCAATCGCTTGCTGAGATGTCAACTTACCTGAATTCTCTCGCGCAACAGCGCCGGCCAGCACGTAGACGCCAGCGCCCAGCGTGCTTCCCACGCCCAGGGCCACAAGGTCAAAAGTGTTGAGGCATCGGGACAGACGGGAGTCTTCCGCGTTACAGTCCACCACCTTCACCCTCAGCAACTGCTTCCCGAAACCCAGAAGCTTCTTCAGCGCCATGGATCCCAGTCTGACCTCAGGGAGGGGGAGATGGTTGACCGGGGTTCAGAGGTCACAGTGGGGGAGGGGGAGAGGTCACACACAACCTAACAGGAGAGAGAAGGTGAGGGAAAGTGATTTAAAGTTCCTCGCACTCAGGTGCTTCAAAATAAGCGCGGAACTTTTTACAGCAGTCTTTCAATAAACACATGGTTTGCACAGTGGTGAAGTGTTGCACACTGGGTTAAGGGGTTTGACAAACTTGAGAAACTTGTTGAAAGTAGAACACTGTTTCCTGGGGAGTTACATAACCCAAATCCACAATGTGTGACTGCTAGCCAAAAAACCAGAAGCCTATAGGGATAATCCATCTTATTGCTGACATGTGTTACATCACACAGCTCACAGGAGAGGAGGCAAAGCCCTAGAACAGACTGTTCCAGACGAAGACAATCAGAGCTCATCATGACACAGAAAAGACTTTTTTGCAACGTGCCGTGGAGACTTGTTGCATCGTGTTACTCCTACACATAGCAGAAGAAACTAAACCTACCATGACCACTACTATTTACCTCTGCAACGATACAAACAAGGACAATCCACTATTGAGCAGCCGTTGGAACCTACCTCTACCCTCTAAAGGCAAAAAAAGCAGCTGTGAGACCTCATTCCTAAGTGGTTGCTGAGAAGATACTGTGAGTCAGCGGTCTGTCCAGCATGTCGTGCACATTCCCCAGGGCTGAGCTCACAAACTGAGAGGTAATACTTGATATTGGCCCAGAGAGGGCAGACTGAGGAACGGAAAGAGGAAAGACAGAGGGGAGGGGGTATAAACAATGTCCTGCAGCTATGTAAGTTAGGTTGTGGCGGTATGTTAAAAGTCCAGTGGCATGTCCCATGGAAGAGAGACCAGACATGCAGCAGCATAACACTGTGGCCCATTTTGAAATAATGGCACCGCTCCACATGAGGACATTAACCCAGAAAGGTCATGTGGACAGTGCAACAGTCATGTCACACCTTATGGAAACTGCCATAGAAGGGTAAGCTAAGGTGACAACCTTGTGGCTTTTTTTCTTTCTTTCCAGAAAACAATATGTTGCAGTTTTACCAATTCCCCAAATGGATATACTTCTATTCAAAGCTCAAATGTGCAGTGGGGCATGTTTACTGTATTCGTTTTTCTTAGAAACCCATCAAACACAGCTAAAGCACAACACCTACACATCTATTGTTTTCCTGCAGTGCTACAAGCTTATACATTAAGAAACACTTCGCTGTCTCAACGCTAAACCCAAAGCACTGCCACCACTGCAAGCTGAAATTATTGCAATTATTACAAGTCAGAAGACATTTCAATTCAGCCTATTTCCACCTGCAGCTTCTATTTGGTGTTGCAGAGGTCCCTATTGTCTGCACCGAGTCATTGTTAATAAGTGATGCCGCTTGATGGCAGTGAGGCTCGCTGGATGTTCTCTAGAAATGGAGTGGAAGAAATTACACTTATTGTATGCCAATGTGATACTGCACACCATTAGGGGCCTACAACATAAAGATGTGCCATTTAATCAGAACGGATTGATTAGTCGAATTTTATAAATTTGCTTTGTTTTTAAAGAAAATTGCAAAATATTTTCTGGTTTTCTTATAAGTAAATGTATGTAGAACATAATCAACATACTAATCGATATTCATACACATCTCATACGAGCTTATACATCAAGCTGTTTTTGTTGTTGTTGTGTTCGACATAAAAAAACAGCCCAACACCTGCAAGAAGTTGATGGATGTACGGGTGCATCTTGGAGATTGTCATAACCAAATAAAGTTCCTCCTAAATGAAAACTGAAAGGGACCATAATGATGTTTGTGTTGCATTTTTCTGACTTTACAAATAGTACCTTCAACATATTCGGTCATAGCCACTCCCACTGCTCTACCGCTGAGCCGCAGTAACCCCATGATGAAATGCATACATACAGTAAATGAAGAGTACATCTAGAGAAATGTTTGTTTCGTTCATCTGTTTACAAAAAAAACGAATTGAAGGAAAACCGCTGTTGCACAAGTAATCCATGAAATTACTGGACCAAACCAGCAGCAGTAAGCCCATGCTTACGGTATATTATTATTCTGCCCAGATAAATAAGTAGCTGATTATTACGACGGCTTGTTTTTGTAAAACCCGGACGGTCATTAACAAAAGCTTAATGAAAATACTATTGAAATATCCACCGGGGTGACCATGAAGCGCATATAGGAACAAACACACACATGCATGCACATAGCAGAAGAAAATAGCCTATATGAACCACATGACCCCTCACTGACCTGGGTTTGCAATTCATTCATCAGACCAAATAATGACGCCTCAAACAGAAGGAAATCTGGCTATTCCAAAACAACCACACGTGTTTGAAACCGGAGGCACAATGACAAACACAGACATTGTCAATGCTGCCGGTCAATGTCAAAATGCTAATAATAACCTGTTCCAGAAAGGCGGAATGAGAAAATATAAGGAGTACTTACTTCAGAACACCTACAGATAGGCTTCACCTGTTGATCTGACTGGAAAGTTTGAAAAAAACAAACGGTGGCAGATCGAGGGATTAAACGGCACATTTGTTAACCATTCTTGAAGCTGCTGTGAAGACTGCAGAGCGTTTGACGGCAGCCGCTCTGAAATAGAACCTGGAGGAATCACATGGCTTTGCTATTCGAAGCAGCACACGCACGCATGTACACACAAGCACAGTCAAAATGTAGCAGTCGTTGGCTGACCGTGAACACCTTAACGCATGTATTTTTTACGGTAATAACTCTGGATGCCTGTCAGATCTTCAATAGTTACGGAGTTGGAGCTGCATAGATGTAAACAGTCACGGTAACACAGTTCATCTGCAAAAGCAGCAGATTATTTTGAAACAGAAATGTAATGTAATGTTAAGTGGCTGCATCCAGACAAGCCTTTTGCATTGGTGTCAGTCATGCATCTCAGTACATACATTCATACGTGCATGCTTTGTTTGAATTCATCGACATTGAATTAATATTTACGCAGTAATACCTCTGGAATAAAGTGTGGGATTTAAAGATAAAATAGCCTTGCAAACTTCAGGCTTTAGACAGCATGGTCCCTTCTTAACTCAGTGTGTGCACACACACATACACACACACACACACACACACACACACACATACACACACACACACACACACACACACACACATACACACACACACACACACATACCCGGCCCACTGTCAGTTTAAAATGGTTTTGGCAGAGAGAGTACAGTAGAAGTATTGTGCAGAAGGCAAAGGCAGTGCCCGTCAGTGGGAGGGAGTGGATGAACAGGGAAGGGGGTGTGATCCATTAGAACCTATGAGAGTACGCCGCAAATATGACACTGCTTGACATTTAGGAAGGCTAGGAGTACTCTTTAATGACTACCCACAAAATAACTGGACTTGGAATAAATAGCATTAATATAGTCCCCCCCCAGCAACAATTTCATGTATCTCTCATTCAATTATTCAGTGTTATGTTGGAGGAATGAAAAAAGTATAATGCATATTTTGATATCTATGTCGTCCACTGTGTTGGTGGATTGTTTCACAGTTTTGGGGTCACTCAGTTCAGCTCAAAAGCATGCACCCACTATAGGCTTCCAGCTAACTGAGTGGAATTGCTTTCTGGAAGTGGGTTCACTGAGGAGAGAGAACGGCATGCAACAGCAGTTACTGCTGCTTGTTGACATGTCTCATATGTTTCCATCCCATGCATCCTACTGCAAGTCCTGGTGTAGTCTTAATGACAGGTTTTATTTTTTGGCGCCTGTAAACAATTTCATGTGATGCTGTTTGACTGGCCGCTTGCCCCAATGGGTCACCTTGAGCTTCTTGTGTGTGTGGATTTCATGTGTGCCAATCCGTCAGTCTGTCGGGAACAGGCAAAGTCATAGGCAGCCAAGTTTTGACCATAAAGAAAGAATGATTTACGCTTCTGGTGAAACTAAGAACGTGTGACAAGGGACCAATGACAACGTGTCCTCCTCGTGTCTGAACACACAACGATCCAACTCTCGTCCTATTCCTGACACGGTCCGGAGAAGTAGTCACATATTTCAGGAAACAAAAAGTTGTCCCTTTACCTCCATTCAGTTCTAGTACAAAGATAGCTGCTGGTAAAACACCAACAACTCTGTACTGAGCAAACAACATGGGGAGCTACAATCACATGAAAGATAGTGAAATGTACTGACACCTCTGTGTAACACTGGAGTCTCTTTGCTAATAATTTGCTGATAATTTGTCTGTAATTGTTGAAGATCCAAGACATCCGGAATATTCAGAGAATATGAATATTTTAGTTATCCAGTGTTTAGCCTTTAGTACATTAACATAGTACTCACAGTTAAAATAAAAGGGTAAGAAACAGTGTTTCGTCCATATCCAATTCCTCTGAGAGAATATTTGTACTTTAGATTCATTAAAATAGCAGTACAAACTGAAATGTAAGTGTCTTTTAACGTACCATATTTGTGTACATTTGTATTCAGATATTGTGTATTGAGATAGTTCATAAGAAAACAGGTCAGTAGCACGTTTGACAATTAAAAAGCTGGCACGAGGCGACACTGCCCGTTGAATACAAAGTTCACTTTCAGAATCTCAATCCGTTTCTATTCCAGCAGCTAATCACTTCCACAAGCATGACTACACATTGTGCGGGAGCGCGTATTACTATTATCCAACATCATAAACCACTGATCCATGTTTTGAACACACTGCAATCTATTTACTGCAGCCACTTTTGCTTCCATTTTTGCACACAGCGGCGGCAAGTCAATGTCAAAAACCCATCAACTGCAACTTTGTTTCATCTTAACTCTGAGTGTAAACAGAAAGCCTAAACACCGTTCAGAGAAAATACACGTATTATGCTGTTATTACTGAGTACACAGCAAACCAAACATGTATTCTGGAGATGCAGCAAAGAGGAAATATGAAGCCCTAGAATCTCCAAAATCTCAGTGAACCTGGAAATCTTCCACCGCCATCCCTCGGTGCATTTGTATATAGGCTTCATGCAGCCCTGCAGTCAGCAACGAGCTCGCTAGTGACCCCCTTTCAGACCAGCTAAAGTTAGACCGGCTGGATCTTGCCATCAAGATCCAAAAGGTCAACACTTGTTACGAAGTCATTCTTAAAATATAATCAAATGTAGGATAGAAACATACAGTCAGTTGTTAATCTAACAATTATTTGTCTCTGTTTTTTTGGTCACACTTTCTTCTGATACTGCTTTTTTCGAACACCATGAATGGAGTGTCACTTTTAATGTGTTCCCAGCTGCTTTTTCAAAACACTGTGGGCTTTCACGCTGTTCTTGTTAATTGTATGCTTTCCTGAACTACAGTACAGATTTGACCTTTCCACTTTTATTTTTCCAGAGGAGCAAAGTAACAAACTGTACTGACGATGACTGGTACATCGATAATCTAACCCTGAAGGAGAGTTTTTCACATTTCAACTTAAATGGATGGATGCGTGGATTTGAGCCACAGCGTAATCACTTCACTGTGAGTGTGTACATTTTCCACCACTTGGAATTTGCAACTTGCTCTGCATGTCAGACGAGTTTTTACACTTCAGAAGGGGGTGTAAGCCCCTCACTCCTGGTTTCAGACCAGTTTTGAGCCCAGGACTGTTGCATCCCTATTCAAAATCCCACAGTCACCACTTTCCTCACGTGCATTACCAGTCCTCTTTACACTGCAGCTCCTCACACAGTCAAATCCAGATTTAGCACACCTCTGGGATCCCTCTCATATTACATGACCATGGTTACAGACAATTCGTTTTTAGAAGCCTCTAAATGTAGAATCACCCAAACTTCACTTTGTTTGGCAGCGAGGTGCAAGTTGCATGAAGAGGACATTGTGCAGCTCACTTGTAGTATCTCGCCGGCTTGTGAAGCCCCATTCGCAGGCACGCTGCAGGAAACTAACACTTCTGCAGCAGTTAAAATGGGGGCTGCGAAAGGAGCATGTGGTTAAAGGCGTGGGGGCTTTCGTGTTATTCACGCGCCCTCTTAACTTTACGCACGGGAATATGCGTTTCCACTGTGCTCCCTAGATGCTGTGCATCACCTGGAAATCATCCAGCACGCGGCAACAGATGCTAGAAAGTTAGTAATCACACAATGTTTAACCATTTGAACGCGGCGACGATGTAAGAGCAGTTATTTACCTTGCAGATCCTGCGGGAGCGCATGAAGCAGTGATACGAGCGAGTGATTTTCTCGAGGTCTGAAAAGTGGAAATTGGAGTAGGTAAAAGTGCGTCAACACAAGCGCAACACCAAATTAAATGTCCGTCTTTACAGGTGGTAGGAATACTTTCTTTTTTTTTAAGGTTTCGGGTTTCTCTGTATTGCGCGTTCAGACGGAGGGGGGTTACGGGGGGCAAACAAGCAGCCACGCCCGCTCATTACCATTACAGTTGTGCAATAGCCATTAGCCCCCTATTGCATGAGAGACCAACTGTCACAAGTGGCAACTGGCTAAAATCAACAAGTCATTCATGAGCAGGATTTCAGATGAAGAGTTTTGATCACGAGACAGGCAATCAGGAGTTTTCACAAAGTCACAGCTTTGAAGCTTCCTTCCTTGTCTAAACTATTCAGAAAATGTTATTCTCCGTCAGTCTATAAAGGAGTCCATAAACATTCCTAAATTGAGGGACATTGGTAAATATTTTGGATTGTCCCTTTTTATGGTCAGATTGTGCACAAAAATGAAAACACCATCCAATGAGCCACACTTTTTACTTAATTGAAACAAGACAGTGATCATTCAAGTGAATATTTTATTCACAGGCAAATAAAATACTAACACAAAAATTGTTTTACAAAATTGAATACAAAGCTCTCCGCTGTGGTAGGGTCATCGGGGACGTCCGTGGGTGACACAGAAGGGTGAAGTGGGCGGTCCAAGAACAAAACACATATCAGCTGTCTCACCAGCTGGTTTTGTTTACAGGGTGCATTTCTACCTTTTGGTATTTCTAACACATAGAAGTGGAGTATGTGAGAGAAATAAAAGGTGGTTAAGCAGTTTTTACAGATAGCCAGGTTGACTACGGTGTCAATTTAGAGATCACACATTTCCCAAACATATGCCAGTCATATCAACAATTGTTTATTCTGAATAAATTATGCATTAAAAATATTGCCAGCATTGCAGAACAACTGAATGGTCTTCCTGCGCTGACAATACAAGGCCTTATTTTCAGCATCAGTCTTGTGTTGAGCATACCTTTCTATACATTATTCACAATATTTACACAAATGTCTTTTACCTTCTCTTTTCAGGCAAAGTAGCAACTGTCACGTTTTATTTCAAATCCATTTACGCAGTTTTTTTTCTTCTTCTTCCCCGGGAATCCGACTTCAGTGATCCAAATGGCTTCAATGTGCTGAACACGACAAAAGATGTATGAAAAGTTGCTATTGCCATGTCCTCCTCTACGACTTGGCTTCCAAAAGAGGCTTGATGTCTTTAATGCCGTGCTCTGCTGCCACTGCGATGATGTGGTCCAGGGCATTCATGTGGCCCAACATCTTCACAACCTCTTTGACTTGGTCCCTGTTGGCAGAAAGGAACAGTTATAAAAGACGCAGTACGGACAAAACCCGTACAACACTAACAACTAACAACACTAGTTAGTACATTGTCATTTTGTGATTCAACCAAACAACCCTGGCAGTGTAGTGTAATCTTCCATGGAGCTATAGCTGAATTCAAGTTCCCCAAATTGAGACAAACAAACTGTACAGAATGTGCAGAGCTTCTTACTTGGCAGTGCGCCGATCTACATCAGACCCGCCCAAACTGCTGCGGTGCATTGAGTTGGCCAGGTGGGTGAGGTAGCGACAGAATGGCTCCAACTGAGGCAGCGTGCGCTGGCCCTTCAGTCCAGAGAACCACTGCAATGGCAGACACTCCACCACCTGAGAACGGGGACACGAAAGGACACGGAGGCGTTAAACACCAGCTCTGTGTCGCCCTGTTCAGTGAGACCCACTGAGCCACCTGCTCCTCAACAGCAGGTCTATAGTCACATCATGGATTATTAAATACGGCAGGAAGTCTCTGGAATCATTTGAAAATGCAAGTACGGGCTTGTGTAAAGGGAAGTTCTATTTTCTCTTATCTGTGAACTCAATGGGAAGAGACTTGTCCACATTCATTGCACTCTGACGGTGTCTTACAGCCAACAGCGTGGGCTGCTTAATAGAATAAAATGGCCCTCTTGTAATCTGTGCACACATTTTTTAAATTGTAATCAAACAATGAATCCTTTTATATCCACTCTCCGGACCAGAGACACAGTTCAGGGAATAAGAAAAGAACTTGAACTATCGCTGAAAATCTTAGTTTTATGTTCTAGTGAAATGGACCGCAGCAGACCAGAACCATGTTTCCTCAGCACCTGATGAATGATGTAGTGATATCACTAAACAGAATTTATGGCATTCTCATGGATGTAAAATGTAAACCATTATATAACAAGTCAGTTAATCTAAAACAAGCATTCTGACGACACCTAGTGTCTATTTACACATGAAGCTAACAGCCGGTGGGTCTCCTACCTTCTGGCACTTTGGGACATTGTCCGCTCCAGTGTCCGTGGTCTGCAGTGCAGAGAGGATGTATCTATTCACGGTGCTGTCCAGCGCCAGATCCTTCAGACAGGAACTGGATAAGATTCCTTCCCACTGCAGGATGTTGCCCAGTAGCTAAGACGAAAACACAACGCCATATCAATAACCAACTATTTTTTTCAGCTACCACAGAAGTAAAAACACGGTTTACTCCACGTCTGCACACACCTTAACACAGGACCAGAACTGCCGCTGGTAGAATAAGTAGGGGCCGCTGTTCTTGTTCTCCAACACACTGAAGAGAAGCAAAAAACACACTTGTAATCAGTAAGTGTCGTCATATAGATTGACGAAAACACAAACTGGACTTCCTCTATTGTGTAACGTACTTTTTGGGGTAAAGTGGAAGGAAGACATCTTCATCCAGAGTCCGCCTGGTCCTGAAGACAATAGTTTTCAAAAGCTCCTTATGAAAGAGAGAAAAAAAAAAAAAAAAAGGAAATCAACATGATCATGATTCTATCACGTGAGCCAAAGCGAAGTCTTGTTTTGCAGATGAAGTACATTATGTTTATGTAAGCGAGTGAACGGTACCTGTGTGTATCTGTTGTCCCCATGCAGCACAGTGGGGTAGCCTTTCATGAGTCTGTGAATGAAGCCCACCAGCCCGGTCGTCTGACTGTTCGACAGCGGGTCCCAGACTTCCTCTGCCAACACTGACACACACACACAAAGCAATCCATAAATATACAGATTTGTACATGAACATCTTAGTATGCCGAGTGTGACCGTGCGGGTTACTCTACCTGTCAGTTTGGATAGGATGACCTTCTCCACAATAGCGGGCAGCAGGCTGATATCCCCGTCTCCTCTCTGCGACGTGCTGTGCTCCTCGAAGCCGTAGAACAGCAGCGACTCAAACCACAGCATGTACTCGAAATTTGCACACTGAGCCTGGGCAGGGGGAGGGGGAGAAAAAGACAAGTGGTTTTGAGAGTTCACCTCTCCCATTTCAAAAAGCTAAATGTTCCACTCCAAGCATACACGTGCCTCACCTCAAGAGGGTTCCATGTGATCAGCTGCAGGCGGACTAACGGGTTAAAGAGTTTGGGCAGACACAGGCCGATGTAAGCATCTCTGTAGCAGTCGGCGTATTCTCTCCTCCACACTTCGAAGTGGGATTTGATGCAATCAAGAGAATGAAAGTCCTCCACCGCATCCTCAAACACTTTCTTACATTCCCGGGTGATACGATCTGGATGAGACGAAAGGCTTCAGTTAGGCATGAACTACAGAATGTCTGATGTTTGTTATGTCTGTTTACTGTCACTTCTGCAGCAACTTGATGACGCACCTTTCTCCATGTTGAAGCTGGTGATGTCAGTCGAGGTCTCCTCATCGTCGGACGATAAGCCTTCTTTGTGCTCAGCCCTCTTTCCGTTCTGCTCTCTAGCTTGTCGCCGGCGAGTTCTGCACCCACAAGCACAAAGGCAGAATTTATGGTAAACTGAAACCAGCGTGGCACTAAAATGACTCAAAACAATAACTTAGGGTCTCTTGCATGGCAAACACATTCTTTACAAACCAAACTAGGCTGCATTTTTGTGGATAAAATCACAGAAGGCTAAGCTCCGATGTAAGTTTAGGCATACCGGGACAATAGTACCAGTATGCCTACTATCTCGTCACATGACTCTAGCCGACAAATCCCTGAAAACGTGTCTTTGAGGAGGATTTAGCTTCGTACCGTCGTGCTTCTCTTTCCGCTATCCGCCTCTGACGACTGTGCTCTTGGTAAACTGCGCGGTCGCGACCAAATGAGTCCAGATTAGGAGCCATGACAGCTTTACCTGCAAGAGACAGGAGTCATGTTAGAACCAGCAATAACAAACTGAGACAAACCCATAACCCCCATTCTATATTCTGGGCCCTAAACATCGCACACAACAAATTTAGAATAATCCAAAATACTTGAAAATTTAAATTAGACGAGACAGGCAGGTTACAGGCAAAAGGATTGTTTTAAAAATGTATGAAACAAGTTTAAATATAATAATAATTATAACAATAAATCAGCTAAACCTCCTAATATGTAAAAGGTAACACCAGCAACAACGCATAATATTTGTTACAATATGTAATTTTGGTATCGTTCATTTTCTAGTCACTTACCTGGCTGCAACATGTTACAGTGAAAGTGACAGATGACACGTCACTGACAGATCATTTATCTTTACTTAGTGACTCATTGCTTGAGCTGAGTTACAAGCGCCCAGCTGACTGCGAGACTCGGCCAATAAAGAGTAGCCGAAACAGCTCCTCCAATAAAAAACAGTTCTCATGTACGAACATCCACTCAACTCACACCTCAATTAACCGTAACACACACTCATGAGGGGAAACAAACGGGGGTTGTGGGTAACAAGAATGTGAACAGCAAACACGCGCACACACACACACACACACACACTCACACACACAGAGAACTAACGAGGCCGTTCAAATAAATCATAAAAACCTTCAAGATGGACTGACTTGAAAGGCTTGCAAACTCCGACGATTCATCTTTAATATCATCCTGTCTTCTCTGGACAAGTCGTGAGGCACGTTGCCTTAGTAACTGGTGCATGGCCGCCTCCAGCTCCAGGACAGCAGGCACCTGAAAGATATGATGCCTTCTGTGACCTCTGACCCAAACAAAAAAGCCGGGGCTCCGAGTCACAGGGAGTTCTGGCTGAAGGGACAACAGGAGCATGACGGACAGAATAACACTGGAACCTAAATACCGCTAGTGTTGAGTGAAAACTCACATCTCGAAAACGTCGTATTTATTTGAAGGCAAGAGGACTTTTGTTCAGCAGACGTTTTAGGCTGAAAATAATGATAATCCGAGTCAATGGCAGAATTAAATGCCCTGTGAAGTTAATGCAATAACACCACAAAACTGTAGAGTTGACGGTTTTTACCCAACACGGACAATATACAGTTCCAGTATTGATGTTTACACTGTATTCACTCCATACTAGAGTCATACTGATAATGGCTGCTTAAGCCTGTTCCCATCACCTAACAGGGTTCAAACAGACATCAGTGTGTATGAGGAAACACATGTTGGGGCAGCTGGCAGGCCTGTCCTCGCTGTGCTCCATGCAGATGACTGAATTAGTCTATTTGGACGTGCATTCAGTGAGTAGCTAGCTGTAGCTCGTGTCGGAGACATCATTTCCCTAAGATCGGAAATTTGTGTATAAAGTCAAACATACATGGAGTTTGCTCCAAGTGAACGATTCGCAGTCACACTGGCTCTTCAGCTCTGTTACCTAGCATCAATAATAGCGTCTTTAAAATGTTTTTTTATCTCAATTAATGTTTCACAATACAAACTTCTCATTGTATCCTATCCCTTTAAAAATCCACATCAAGTGCTCATAGATCACACAGACACAAATCAGAAGACAGCTAATCAGACAGCAGATGAATTCTCCCTTACCTTTTCACTGAAACACTCAAGCAAGTCTCCAACATACCCTCGCATCTCTTGCAAGAATTTATATTGATCTGCATTGTCATTGGACGAGCCCTCCAGCTGCAGTATGGCGCTCTCGGAGGCCGCTAGGTCTTCTTCGATCTGTTTGTAGCGGCTGGCGTTTGCGTTGTTGCCTGCGCGCATTTGGCTGAGCCTGCGGACGCATGACATACAGGGGGAAAGACGGTAATGATGACTTAGTCGAGGCTGAGAAAAGCAGAGAAATGCTGCCATCAAATGAAACAACATGAAAACAGATTCGAAGAGACAAGGAGCTAAAACGGTGCACTCTTTTGTAAACCCCCTCCGGACCTCCACACTCCCTCTCTGGCCCTTAGATCTGTGGATAGCTTGGCTAGGGTCCACGGCACACAAAGATGGCCGCAGCTGAGCTGAAGACTGATATTAGATGTCGCCGCCGTCTTCCACTGAACCTACCTATCCTGCAGGCGTTTCTTTACCAGATCAATGGATACCGGCGTTAGATCGCTAATAGGCGTCCCGTAGAGAACGGAGCCGTTGTCTGCGCGGCCCGTCGGCTTGGCGGGCAGCGGGGCCACGGTGCTGTAGGTGAAAGGCATGCTGTAGGCAGACCCGTATGGTTGGCTCTCGTAGCTGTTCTGGTAGTACACCGCGTTGTCCTCTGGCTGGCTGCTTTGGACCTATTAGAGATAAGAAATTCACGACATGCTTTTTAATATGACAACAAACCAAAAGGCATTCGATATATACAATGATATTAAAGGAGAAAAGCATCAGTACTGCACAGCTTACCTGGGGTATGCTGATTCCTTTCCTAATCTGCTCCTGCTCCCAACGGATCACCTCCTCATCCTGACCTGTATCCAGCGCCTCGTCATCACTGCCCTCAATACCTGTGCATGTGGAGGGGATAGTCGTGTCTTAGAGACAACAGATTGAAAACAGTTGTATATAATCACTGAACGGCCACTGCACCATTTCCGTATGTTACCTATCTCCTCGGCAATCTTTTGCCTCTGGCTTTTGTTCTTGACTCCGCTGAAGCTGATCCTCTTCTCGTCCTCGTCTTCGTCGTCGCTGGCATCTTGTTCTTCTTCCCGCACCATGCGCTTCTTGGGGGTCTCGGTCTCTACGAGAGGGGGCTCACCCCCCAGCTCTCTAGCTAGTTGTCTGCGCTTTCTGGCAGCATGGATGAATGCCGCATCAGGGATCTCCCCTATCGTAAGAGAGAAACAGGTCTTGATCTTAGTTTATGTGTGTGCCCAAATACCAGATTTCAAATATTTCAGGTTTGGAGGCAAAGTGATGTACGCAATGAGGTGAAAACACATCCAGGGGGGTTTGAACAACAGATAAGAGGACCAACAATTCAGAGACAGGTACAGAGTAAACAGAAATAAACAAACTCAGTGATATATACTATTACATATCTGTCAACAAGAACAGGATTTGGCCCATTAAGACTGGTTGTGCCAGTGCTCACAGTTGAAACATTGTGTGTGTGTGTGTGTGTGTTACCTGGTCTCAGGCTGCCGAGGGAGGAAAGCGTGTTGAACGACGCTCCAGCGCTGTTGCTCTTGATGACTTGACTTTGTGCCTGGCCGCCTTGACTCTTGGCCTCCTCCTCCTGCTGCTCATTGCCACTGTCCACCTCCATTTCTTCCTCCCCCTGTTCACTGCCCGCTCTGCTGGTCACTTCCTCTTTGATGGCAACCGCAGGCTGAGGTGGTGCATCTAGGAAAACCGGATGCAGAGAAAAATTAGTGGGAGGATGATAACAGATCTGACAAACTAATAACAAATGCCTTCAACTTCAGAAAATAGATCTTAAAATTAGATTTAACCTGGCTGATAATTTTGATGGATTCCTATAAATGGTAATGCAATATGAGGATTGTTTTGGTTGTGATAACAGACCCACCTGATTTGATTTCATGTCTGTTTCCAGACTTCTCCAAGTCATCCTTGTATTCTTTCTTCAGCTGTTTGACGATCTTCTTGCTGTGATTGGATTTCTTCACTCGGAACACCTCGGATCCTTCTGTTTACAAACAGAGTCAAGATAAGCATGCACATCATCCAGGTCAAGTTGGTGCTATTGGGAATGATTCCCGGAAAACAAAAGTACTTAACGTTAGCTAACGCTGGCTATAACGTTAATAGTTTATGTAATTATATATCCTAAGCAGGAGCTAAGTGTACCGTTAATATGTAAACATGTAAGAACAACACGATCTCTCAAACACACGTTAACCGGCTAGCTACGTTAGCATTGGTTAGCTTACCTTCATCATCGTCGAAACTCAGCAAACTGGCTTTCGTGGGTCCGACCACGGTAGCTGCAACGATGGGTGTTTCTTTGACTTTCTTTTCTTTCTTGACAGCTCTTATATTGTAGGCGTTAGCCTGAAACCCATTGCTGTGGTAGTTATCCGTGGCGCTGTGTGCTCCGGTAACGCTGGTACTTGAAGTCTCCATAAACGGGATTTCCTCCACAACAGGCCCAAACGACGTCGGCGCCACTGGGGGCTGTCGACCCTCCTCCTGGTCGTCCTCGTCGGACTCATTCCGCCGTCGAAAGTTAGCTCGTTTCGCCTTTTTAAACATGATGCTTCTCTGTTAAATGCAACAGCGCATGGTTTAAACGTAGGGCACCTTAAAATTGTGCTTGAGGCAGAAGGAAACTATACCCACACTGCAAGTCGGCCATTTTCTGTCAGATAGTGAGTTTCTTCTTCTTCGCCAAAAATTGAAGCTGAGCACAAGCATCGTGCGCACAATACTGCCCTCTATTGTTCAAAACGGGTGCAGACGCGCCTCAGAGACGTGCGCGACAATTTGGTACAAGAATTAAATAAATTTGAGGCTAATGTTGAAAATGTGCCTGCTTGTTTATTCTGCGTTTTCCAAAGTCCATTGTACAAATATAAAAAAAAATGTGTTTTCTGTTTGATTACATTTATTGTTGAGTTTCTTGTTTCATTTATCAATTTAAATGTGTGACCCTCATGTGAGCACGGGACAGTACAATTAAGCTGTATGTCTTACAATATATAAAGCTTTCAATATATGCTCAACTAGTGCTATATTTGAGATTACAGTAAGGGAATTATAAATATCCGGTCTATGTGACAAATTGTCTGTGTTTAGGAAGTGCAAACTTTGCACCGAAAGTGGCATTGTCAACTGAATGACTCATGAAATCTGTCATAAATATCCACAAAACAGTCGTAACCTAAGTCTAGAATATGTCATGTAACACTAAACCTTATAGTTTCTCAGATTAGCCTGTTTGTAGGACGGCGGGGTGCTTGTCTATTTGGCCATGGACGTATTGACGACTTAAATTAATAAAACCCACTTTGCATCCACATTAGGGACATGCTGTTGTTGGGTGGGCTATCTGTGCTTGTCAATAACTAGGTCTGCGGTCATCAGTTTATGTTTAAGAAGATAGACAGACAAATAAATACATGAGTACTAGAAGAAACTGTTGAAAGACTTTCAACAGTTTGACCTTCCCACATCTCCTTTCTCACAAATTCCTTTTCTTCAAAAATGGTCTCCTTTCATTTCATCTCACTTTCATTCACCCCTCATTATCTCTGGGCTATATCTTTCCCTTTCCTGACGACAGCTTTTTGAATAATAGTCTGGAGAAGATGATTCAAATGCAAACCCTTGAAATGGCCCCTGATTGCTATGTATGGTGGCGTGTTAAACACATTATGGACAAGGATAGAGTTGAGAGGAGCATATGTCTCTCCTGATAGAAACAGATAATATGCATTCTGGACTACGACAGCATTCAGTTCCTTTAATAAATGCCAGACATGAGCTGCGGTTAGCGAGGGTCATTACAGAGCCATTATTTGACACAGTGTCGTGTGCGCTGTGGTAGTGATAATAACTGCTGAAATTAAAGTGTCACCACAGATGAAGCTGGAGTGATATGTTGTGATTGATTAACATCAAGATGACCATTTGCCATTTAAACGATAATTGGAGATAAATGTCTTCCCATTAACGGTAGAATTACAGTTTTGAAGTCCCAGAGCCCCCTTTTTTGTCTCCATAACACATTCACACATTCATCATTAGAGCAAAAAACATATTCTTATCGTATTGTTTTATAGTAAGAAGTGCAGGTTTGAATCAATTAATTGCTACTGACAAAGCTGTAGTGGTTAGCATTTTCTAGGACATTTATTTTACTTCAAATAAAGGCTAAAGTATGCAGTAAAGACCGGAGTATGCATGAAAATAACAAGTAGTGATGATGGAAAGTTAAGGAATGTGCTGTAGTGCTCATGAATGCACATCTAATGGGCATATGGATGTGCATCGTCAGAAGTATAATAAATCCTCTGAATTTCATATTAGAGGGGCCTGTCTTTCAGAGTAAGTTAAAGCAAGTTTCATATAAAGGACATAATCTTAACACATATCTATTGTTATATGGTAATTTTTCCACTTTGGGAAATTAACGACTTGTATGAGCTTCCCATCAGCTGAGCTCTTAAGAACTTGTACTGCTTCGGTTCTTGGATATACATCTTTAAAACGTCATTTTTCCGTCTAATGTTAAAGTAGCTTGATGATCAGAAACAGTTAAGGCAATCTCATTAAACCAAGTTGGAAAGATTAATGTGGCCTGGCTTTGGTCCCATGAGGAATCTCATTCCTCTATATACCACTTGGGGGCACTGTAGTCGCTTGTAAGCAAAAGGCTGTGTCTTATTTGTGGCCAAGGTGTGCTCATAGTTCACTCATGTATAAATGCTAATGAAATACAATGACATTTCCTGATCCAGTGAAAGTATCTGAAACAAGCCAGCATGAATATAGATGACATCAATACCGCTGCTCAAAGGTTCATCAAATTACTCCTCTTATCGCTAAGATGAAGCTATGTGACCAGGTGATTATTTGTATAAGGAAAAGCAATTTAATTTGTGTGAGACGTATATCATTATTTGTTTGGGTGTTTGTGTGTATGTGTGTGCAGGGGACCGTGGTAAGCGGGAGCAGAGTATATATTTCTTCTTTTGAGTAGTGCAGCAGGAGTGGTGCCACTTTAAATTGCCCCCGCAGGATACAGTATAACTATGAAAGCAAAGTTATAGAAGCCAAGGTTTCATTTGCAGTGATGGAACAAACATCAGGGTTGAATAACCCGGCTTATTAAATACACAGTGTGCGTGTCAAGAGGTAATGAAGATGGAATGACAATGAAAACAAAAGAAAGAGGCGCTGTAATGAAAGGACGAGAGGATCTACACCTTCCACCTCTACACTAAGGACTTCCATTAACACAGGGCTATGTATATTAGTTTGGACAAAATGAAGATGTCCAAATTCATCAGTTTTTAAAACAGACATATACCTTAAAGCACGCTTTTATAAGAAAAACAAAAACATATGCCTTTGCTTTCATGAATGCAATCATGTTTTTACTACCGAGGGAGTCCATTTTCTCTGGAAATGTAATTTTGGAATTAGCTCTTCATACGTCTGCTCTCAGGTAATGGTATCCTTTGAAGACCGAAGATTCATGTTGTGATACAAGTACACATGAAAAAATGACTATTGTGGATAACTAATTATACTTATCTCTAACCGGGGATCAGGATTCACTGAGGTAATTTCTGTTGAGACACTCTGTATGCTTTGTGCGAGCAGAGTACATTATCCTACTCGGGCAGAGGAGGAATAACAAGTACGTGCGGCAGGATTTACTGGCCATTCTTACTACCAATCACTGGGACAAAATCAAGCAAATAACTGCCAAACACATGAGCTATTTGACCACAAATGGACCCAAAATCTCTGACAACCAACAACACACATTTGAAGCACACGCATGGACTGTCTGACAATTACTTCTTCTATAGAGAGAATACAACAGTACCAGTCATTCTCTTATACTTGATAGTGTGTTTTGTGTGCATGCGTGAGAAGATCTATTTGATGTGTGTCGGTGAAAGCAGTCCTCTGCCTTCTCTGACTGCTCATGTCACAGCTCTCTGTATCTGACTTGATTCCGGCGCGGGGATGTGTTTGTCTCTGGTGTTAACCCGCACTTGTGAATACTGCAGTGACCTCTAACTGCCTCCTTCATGCATTAGACATTACCCGTCTCATGCTTCTTCTCAAATCCCCTGCCCTTCGACTGCCGCCCCCCCCCCCCCCCCCCATTTCCAGTTTATACTCTTCCCTATCTGTACCTTTTAAGTGAAGCCGTTGTTTGTTTTTATGCCGAGTTTCAGGAGTGGAGATTGAATGGTGGCAAAGGCTTTGGAGAAGAAAGTTGTCTCAAACTGCGGTGTCAGCAACATCACCTTTCCTCTCCGCCAACCCTCCTCCTCCTCCTCCTCTCTCATCTATCACTCAAGGTAACATCAAAGCCTAATCACCGGGCGACTTACACATCCTGTCCAGACAAGGAAACGCTATCAGGACTTTTGCTCACTTGTACATTGACGTACACACACACACACACATCTCCTGCTGCTTTGCACAGGTTGTCCCTCTCCTGACAAATTCTCCCCCCTCCTGGGAGCAGGTGGACTCCTATTGGGGATTTAAGAAAACTAGCACACCCTGATCTGTAACCCCTGATAAGGGAGAAACAACAGAAACATGCTTTCATTCTCCTTCCCCACAGCACCTTGGAGCAAACCGGATGGAGACTAAAGTTTTGCGAAGGGGGCGGAGGAGATGATGTTCCTTATTAAAGAGAACACACAGAGAAAATTATGATATTTAAACCCACTTTGAAGCCTCAAACTGGTAAATAAATGATGCGCTCAAGAAGACTCAAGAAACGGCTGTGGCTCCTACACCTGCGGCTCAATGCTTAAATATTCATTTCCTGTCATAGTCACAAACACTTGAGTATGTGTAGAGCTTATAAGAGTGAGAGTGTGTGTGTGTTTTAAAGATGCATGTTGAATTAGAAAGATGTGCGCGCTGAGAGATGTTGCTCACAAACTACTGCCTTCAAGTGCAAGAGAAGAAGAGGAGAAGAGAGAGAATTCAAGATTGATTTTCTTCTTCATGATGTACTCAAACATCCTCAAAACCAGCGGACAGCACAGTGGAGAAGAAGCAAAAGCCCTCTGCGCTTTTTATCCGCTCTCTTACTATTCTTTCATCCCTGCAACGCTCATAATGGTCTTGAGATTAGTGCTGGATGTGTTAACAAAACTTCTCATTTGGCAGACAGGGAGGGCGAGGAGACTCCTGTTTGAGAGAATCACTGCAGGAAAAAATGAGAAGAGAGAATTTTCAACGGGGATGTTTGGAAGATGAAAGGCGAACTAATGCAGAGAGGAATTTCAACAACAATTTAGGACAAACTAAAGTAATTGTAGCCAATTCCACACATTCAGAAACATACACACTTTTAGCAGCAGATGTTCCCACTCAACGTTTTGATGATTCCAGACAATGCGTTTAAATTCTATTTAGTTCATTGTTCTGGGATTGAAAATCTATCATACTTGACAAACCGTCCTGACGCAGAAGCATTTGACTCGTTTCCATGTATGATTTTAAAGAGGACCTTCGCACACCTGGCAGTCAAAACGTGTCTCAGTTTATGTTAACCTAGGTGGGCAAACTGTACTGTGGACACACTGGGATTGGACTTTCCAATCAATATTCAATGTGGTCAGGGACATGTGATCATCTCTGATGCATTTTTGAAGTTGGTGTCTGAGGAAA